TTATACATGTAGAAACTTTTGAAATGGTGTAACTTTGGCTATGTATATTTTCACCAAAAAAAAAAAGGTGGAGAAGGGAGAGTGTTGGCATGTTGTGGGGTTGTTAACCAGTGTCATAAAACAATGTGTACTATTTAATGAGAAACTGTTTGTTCTGTAAACCATCTAATGTACAATAAAAAAAATATAAAAAAAGAAAGTGTTAGTTTAGTTCTAGTGCGTTTTAGTTTTAGCACCTCTCTAATACTTGTTTATGGAGCCCAGGTTGAGCAGTGGTTAAGAGGTACAGATGGTAACCAAAAGGTTGGCAGTTCAAATCCCCAGCCTCTCCTTGGAAACCCTATGGGACAGTTCTACTCTGTCGTATAGGGTCGCTATGAGTCAGAAGTTGACAGCAGCGGGTTTAATACTTGTTTGGGTCGTTGGTGGTCCAATGGTAGAATTCTCGCCTTCCATGTGGGAGACCTGGGTTTGATTCCTGATCAGTGCATCTCATGTACAGCCACCACCCATCCATCAGTGGAGGCTTGCGTGTTTCCACGGAGCTTCTAGACCAAGATTGACTTGGAAGAAAGGCCTAGCAATCTACTTCTGAAAATCAGCCAATGAATACTCTATGGATTGCAATGGTCCAGTCACAACTGATCATGGAGATGGTACAGGACTGGGCAGCGTTTAGGTCCGTTGAGCACAGGGTTGCCATGACTCAGGGGCCAACTCCATGGCAGCTAACACTAACATCAAGAATGCTTGCATATCCCCACCGTTTAAGAAAGAAGTTCTGAGGCTCCAAACCTTTTCTTCTTGCAGTAGCATGAAGCTAAAATTTAATATCATTGCTTAGGTTCTAGTGTGTTTTCTCCCCAAGCTATGTATTTTTAAAGTTTTCAGACCTACAGAAACACGGAAACAATAGCACAACGAACACCATATGCCTTTCACGCTAAGAACTAACTTTTTGCAACACGTGCTGTATTTCTTCCTTGGTTGCTGTCACAGTTCTCCCACTTTCCATCTCCCTTTCCATATATGATGTGAGAGGAATCATATACCACTTAACTGTGGTAGTGAAGGTAAATCATAAGCACCATATATTAAAAAATAAGGATTCAGAACTTTTTTTTTTTTAAGCCAGACCTAGTCCAGTTTATCATCCAAGTATAGTTGGGTTCACTCAAACTTTTTAATACTAGTTCAGTAGATGAATTATTTTTGTCCGGTTTTACCTTAAACAACGAAGATCAAGAACACCATAACACGAGGTTTTCATTTGCTTTTAATCGTTATTAATAGCTAGTTGTGCAATTAATTATATTTATCAAATTTTATAATCTGGTAACACCTCAAAGTGATCTTTTCTCAGCCACTTTTATACACCCAAGACAGAGCCAAGAAACAGAATTCTGCAGAAAACAGGTATCCCTGAGACCATTCCCCAAAGCTCAGGGGCTGTGTTGAAGGCAAGCCCTGAGGAAATCCTCTTTAGGGCTCTTTACTCTCACTTTATGCTCCATCCCCATAAGCCTCCTTACCCACAATAGAAAGAAAAAACCAGGCTTCTTGGGCAAGCACGCCACAGCAACAGGAAGTGGAAGTGAACCAGCTAACAGCAAGAGAGAAGACCAGGTAAAACTTCTTGAGCGCCATGAAGAACCATCCTCCATGCTCAGAGCTTTGCATTTAATCCCCACACAGCCCTGTCAGGTAGAACAGTCTGCTCAAGGTCACGGATAAACAAGACAAGGCTGGGATGTGAGCACAGGTCTGTCTGACTCGAAAGCCAGGCTCTTTCTATGAGGATGGTGGAGGGCTGCGGATCTGGGAATCACAGAACCTAGGATACAAGCTGGAATCCTTCTGGAGCCTGCTGGGACTTATTTGTGCAAAGGCATACATTACAGTTTTGGGGGTTTATCATGATGATCTGGAGGAACCTTGGTGTTGTTAGCTGCCGTCAGGTCAGCCTCTGACTCGTGGTGACCCCGTGCACAATGGAACGAAACACTGCCCGGTCCTGCGCCATTCCCATGTTCAGTTGCAGATGGGACTGTTGTGATCCATAGGATTTTCATTGGCTGTTTTTCAGAAGTAGATAGCCAGCCGTTTCTTCCTAGTCCATCTTAGTCTGAAAGCTCTGCTGAAATCTGTTCAGCATCATAGCAACACGCAAGCCTCCAGGTGACAGACAGGTGGTGGCCACACGAGGCGCATTGGTCAAGAATCAGAGCTGGGTCTCCCGCGTGGAAGGCGAGAGTTCTACTACTGAACCATCCCCTACCCCTTGAAGCTTCTGGCAAATGTTAAATTTAACAGTTTTGCTGGTGGACATTACGGAGGGGATTCTCATCACCAGCTTCAATTTAGCCAAGTACCACAGGCCCTGGAACACCGAGAATGGAGGAGGGTCTGTGACCTCTCTCCCTGCTACACCGTTTGCAGTGGAGCCTTGCCTCTCCTTCCCATGCACTTTCTGTGTGGGCTGCAGCTGGGTCTCTGTGAGCCTTCAAGGCCCACAGAGGTGGCAGGAGGGAAGGAAGAGGGGCTTGCTATGGCATCTCATTGGTGGGGCTGGACCCCAGAGCCTTCCCCCTGGTACTGTATCCTCAGGGAGTGCCTAGTAAATCATGATGGTAGAGAGCCACTGTCATCTTCCCAGACTTCATCCTCTTTGCCACATGATTCCATCTTTTCTTATACTTCCTCAGTATATCTGTTGAGTGCCCACCGCTTGCCGGGCCAGTGGTAGCCACTGGGGACACAGCAGTGACTGGGCCCTGTCTTGTGGAGCTAACATGCTAACAGGAAGCACCGAGATTGAAGGAGTCCTTGCACAGTTTCTAGTGATGGTAGAGGAAGCCCTGATGGCATAATGGTAAGTGCTCAGCTGCTAACCAAAAGGTTGGCTGTTCGAACCACCAGTGGCTCTGCAGGAGAAGGACCTGGTGATCTGCTTCTGTAAAGATTACAGCCAAGAAAACCCTATGGGGCCCTTCTACTCTGTCATATGGGGTCACTATGGGTCAGAATCAATGCAGTGGTACCCAACAATGATGGTAGTAAGTGCTGTCTGCAGAGGGAAAGTCAAAAGAGTACACACAGTTGGAGTCATCCAGGAATGGATGGTCATGTTCCCCAGATCTGTTAGAAGTGTATCATCGGGCAGGTAAGCTTGTGGGAATTGGGGCTGACATGTGCAATAGGACACTCCTCACCCCTGCCCGTATCCTTCAGCCCTGTGTCCAAAGTCAGATGCCACATCTCCCACAAAACTTCCCTGGAGCCTTCCCTCTCTGGTCTCCAGCTCTAAGTAACCCTCCCCTCCTCTGCGTATGCATCCCTCTGGTTTCCAACTCCCCTGAACACCTACTGTGTGCCAGGCCCAGTCAGGAGGACAGCTGCAGTGCCCCCCCACAGAATAGAGGGTCCAGCCAGGACTCAGCATCATAACCATTGCTCGTACGCCAGGTACTGATCCAGACACCTGCAGGCATTCATTCATGTCCTCATCCAAACAGCCCCGTGGGATGTAGTTATTATTCCCACTTTGCAGCTAAGCAAGCACAGGGAAGGCCAGTACATTACCCAGACATAAACACACGAAGAAAATAATCACAGGTGTGGTGAATGCTGTGGGGTCCTGATAGAAATGTATAATGGGGGGACCTAAAAAAAAACAGTCGTCAAGTCGATTCCATCCCATGGCATAGGAACACTTTGCTTCACAGAGTTTTCAATGGCTGATTTTTAGAAGTAGATCACCAGGACTTTCTTCTGAGGCATGTTTGAGTAGACTCAAAACACCAACTTTTCAATTAGTAGCCAAATATGTTAACTCTTTGCACCATCCAAGGACTCCAACAGAGGACCAAGTTATAGGGAAATCAGGAGAGTGTGAGTCAGTCTGATGATGTGGTTAAGTGCTCGGGCTTAAGAATCTCACAGATCCAACCCCAGTACTTAGTAGCTGTGTGATTTTAAGTAAGTTACTTAATTTCTCCAGAACTCGCTTCCAGTATCTGTAAATTAAGGATGTAAATATCCACTTTACAGCATTAGAAGCAATCACATATGCAGACTGAGCACAGTGCCCAGCTGGTTATGAGTTCAGTAAATAGTAGCTTATTGCTCTTTAGTCTGTGATGTGACTGTGACTTACTTCCGTTTGAGACCGTAAGCATCTTTGTGACGGTGGCTGTATCGGAATCGACTTTGTCAGCCTCCCCCGGGACCCTTCGCAAGGTCATGCATTTGCATGATGTGTTTGGTGAATGTTTGTGGAATGAATGCATGAGCAAGGAGGTACGTGAGTGAATAACTGTCACCACATGGCAGGTAGCTCTGCTGAACATGGATTTAGTCTTCTGACCAAAGACTCCTGATATAGCGGCTCTAGAAGAGAGTGTGCTTTCTTCTCTGGAGTACCCAGCCAGCACCTGGCCGTGTTGGCGGGTCTGTGGGAGCAAAGGCTTGATTCCTGCATTTTAATCTGAGAGACTGAGCTTCCAGCCCTGTCACTTTAGGCAGAGAGTTGTTAAGACATCTCATCCACACAAATCATGTGCAGATGCCACCGGTGATGGGGGAGAAGCAGGGATGAGTTAGGTATTGGGATTTAGGACCCTGTCTTCAAAGCAGATCACCCATTGCCCCTCGGTTTCTGAACGGCTGGATTTACATTGAAGGAGTTGCTGTTGGAACGCGGGTGGGCGGCTGGTGTCTCCTCCATCAAACCCCAAAACCAAACCCGTTGCCGTGGAGTTGATTCTAACTCCTGGCGACGCCACGCGTTACCGAGCGAGCTCCATAGGGTTTTCTTGGCTATAATCGTTACAGAAGCAGATCATCAGGCACCGCTGGGTGGGTTTGAACCACCAACCTTTAAGTTAGTAGTCGAGCGCCAACCGTTTATGCCACCCAGAGACCTTCGTGTCTCCATGAGAGGATGTTTAATCTGTGTCCCCTTTGTGTCTCCCACCCCCGCCCACTGTCCCCGCCTGCAGGAACGGCATCACCAGCTGCCGGATGCGGACTGAGAGCGAGCCGTCGTGCGGCTCCCCAGTGGTCAGCGGCGACCCCAAGGAGGATCACAACTACAGCAGTGCCAAATCCTCCAATGCCCGGAGCTCCTCCCCAGCCAGCGACTCCATCTCCTCCTCCTCGGCCGACGACCACTACGAGTTCGCCACCAAGGGCAGCCAGGAGGGCAGCGAAGGCAGCGAGGGGAGCTTCCAAAGCCATGAGAGCCACAGCGACACGGAGGAGGACGACAGGAAACACAGCCAGAAGGAGGCCAAGGATGCCCTGGGAGACAGCGGCTACGCGTCCCAGCACAGGAAGCGGCAGCACCTGGCCAAGGCGAGGAAGGTCGCCAGCGACACGCTGCCCCTCAAGAAGAGACGCACGGAAAAGCCGCCTGAGAGCGACGACGAGGAGGTGAAGGAGGCGGCGGGGTCGCTCCTGCACTTGGCGGGGATCCGGTCCTGTCTGAATAACATCACCAATCGGACGGCAAAGGGGCAGAAAGAGCAAAAGGAAACCCCAAAAAATTAAAAACAAGTCACCGATTTGTTTTGAACTTCCGGCCATTTGGTTTCAGCATGTCAGGAGATTTCTAATGATTTGTGGCAATATCAGCAATTTATTAATTTTTTTTTTTTCTTTCTTGGTTTGGTTTTCTTTTCTTTCTTTTTTTTTTTTTTTTAATTTGCCCCTCTCCTTTGTTTTTGGACCCTTAAGAATTTTATTTTTAAAGGAGATTGAAGCCATAGAACTCATATTGACACTCAGCTGTTTTACAAAAAGCTTTTCATTCTCTGAAGACAAAACCGAAAAAGCCAAAATGACCGTTGCTTCCTCCAGCTTGTCAGAAACACGTGGCTGAACCCGCAGGGATGTCACCATTAATGCCACGGGAGACACATCAGCACCTAGAAGGCACGTGTGGAAGGTAGTCATTGTTCAGGCCCAACCCTTAGGTTTAAAACGTCCCTGAGTGAATGTGCAGGAAGTGACTGGGAGCAGGAGAAGCCCCTTGTCCCCCTAGGAGCAGGCCCCAGCTAGTGGCACTAGGCGTCAAATTGTGCCAGGAAGGCCTTTGGTCGGGAGTCGGCCGCCAGTCCCCTGTGCTTCTTACGAGGTGGACACTGGACTGTTGATACGCGTCAGGTGTCAGCAAGTCATGAGAAGAAAACGGGGTAAATTTTTAGTGATGTTGCTAATCATTGAATTCTGTTCTATATTAAGAAAATGTTCTAGAAGCCATAAGCCTGAAGGTTGGCCCTGCACACACACACACACACACACAAGCACGCACACACATGAGAGAGAAAACTGATGCAGAAAACAAGCTATGTCTTCTTAACTGCCCAAGTGAAAAGCAATCAAATCCAAGAAATTGTAATCACTGTTAAGGAAGGAGATAACGGTGCAGATATTTTTCTGTCTATCAAAAGTATTTGATCCAAGTGGGGGGAAAAAAAAAGAAAGAAAAGGAAACAAAAAGCTACAGAACCTGCCATTAGTATTATGGTGTGTTTTTAAAAAGGTTAAAGGCACATTGATGGACAAAAAAGGTAAAATATGACAAAAAATAAATAAAAATAAACTCCTATACTGCCCTCAACACGGAGTTCACAATCAGTGTCAGGCAGGATTCATCATTGTGAAAATCAGTGATTTCCACATTCAGCCATTGTAGCCAGCAGAAATTTCTGACCCACAGTGCATGGATTCCTTTGAAAAGAAAAAAGAAAAAAAAAAAATCAGAAAAACACAAACTTTTTTTTTATTCAGAAATAACAAAGTTCTTGTAAGGTAAATAATGTATTTAGCATGAAGCATGAATTATTTTCATATAAATATAGAAACTAGAGAAAAGGCTATGCCTCTAATTTTTAAGCCCTTAGGCTTAGAGAGTCTTGGTTTCCCTTTTTTTTTTTTTTTTT